GGGTCATAATCTGCTTGGATATTAATTTTCATGAAGGTACAGTTAATACTCGAAGGGTTATTCACATTTTTCACAATGGTACTCATTCATGAATTTTATTTTTTCTGTTTTGTTACTTCAGAATGTATTTTGAACATTTTGGTCAAAGGAAATTGACTTCTTTTATTAATTGAAAGTTGTCCAGCAGTTAAAATACAATTTTCATGAAAATGCAGTGGAGTAATTTATATTTTTTATGATCATACTATACTGAATTGCAAATAAATTTACATTCTTTAATGTATTTTTAAAATTTAAATTTTTATTTAATATTACTTAATAAAGCATTATTATTTAAAATTAAATTTAATATTACAATATAAATTTTTCTTTATTTTTCACCATACAAAAAAATTGTATATGGATTATGGAATCTACATTTTTATATTGGTAATACACTAATGATTTATGAAATTGGCCGTAAAAGTCACAAATTAGACAAATGTAACCAAAAATTGGCTATTCAATTTTTTGCCAATTTTTACTTATTCTGATTCTTTTTTTAACGCATTTATTTATTAAGTTCATAAATGATTACATAATTAACATACTTATTCTGATAATAGGCAGTATATATAAAGTAAATTGCATGTATACAAAAGGTTAACAATAAATGTGAATAAATGAAACTTAATAAATAAATGCAATGTATGAAACATTATAAATTAATGAAATACATTAGTATTAAAAAACAGATGCTTAAATATTGGAATGTATTGTGTCTTTTAATTATATGAAATGTGGAAAAACTTTTAAATGGCCTGGAATTTCATGATATGTATTCTATTTATAATAAATATTTGAATTTAATTAAGTACTTTAAAATGTGGAATATTAAAAAATATGGAGATTTTATTTTTTTAAGCATACAGTATGAATATACAGTATAAAAAAAGATATATCATTTTATTGTTTCAAAATATAAATGGATTAATGGAGTTTTTTTCTTTATATAAATCATGTTATTTACAAAATAAATATAATTTCGTCCATATTATCACTGGTCAGAATAGTCCATTTCGGCAAAATTTTAAATTGCTGAATGTTGGACAAAATTCGGTCTGACATTAGCCGATCAGTACCAAAAAAATCGGCAACTAATTTTATAGGCGATTTGCACCGTAACGCCTGCCACTCGCAATTAGAAATTGGCAAAATTTCGGAATTAGTTAAAAAAATCGGCTGTATATATCAATAAAATTTGAACCTGCCATGCAAATGAAATTCGTCATAAACAATCGACTATTCGTCTAAAAATCGATATTGATTTAATTTGCCGATTTGCAAAAATAAATAAAATCGACCATAATAATTTTGATGAAATTTAGCAAATTTAAGTTTTAAAACAGCGATTTTATTTCGATTGATTTACCAATTATTTTAATTAAATCGCAAAAATTTCCTACAAAAATAGTAAAATTTTCCTACGAAAATAATACGAAAATAATAAAAAAATCTAATCCACAATTCCACAAAAAAACCCATAATTTTCAAAAAAAAAATCAAAAAAAAAACTGACGAATCAATCCAAAATTTGAAAAAAAGTTAGTATAACAAAAACTCAAAACAAAAATTAAAGTACAAATTTATACCATTTGTCTGTTTCATCTTCTGTTTCCGGCGATTCTTCCACTCCAATTGGTTCCGATTCATTCACTCCCATTGGTTCCGATTCTTCTGTTGGTTCTGATTCTTCCATTCCAGTTGGTTCCGAATCTTCTATTACCTCTATTTCGTCCATCTCCGCCGACACTTCCACATCTTCCGCCATTATAAGATTATCCATCGTTTGAATCAGCGTTTCCGGCTCAAAAAAGTTAGTATCGGCCAGCGTATTCTGCTCCATGTAGGTCCAATTTGGAGCACCTCGTGGATGACGAGAGACGATATTATATATCTCATCATCATAATTTCACGTTCGTATCAGTTGTGCAGATTGAAGAGAGAAAGCGTGTTGGTCCAAGATATTTCGTAATAAATCTATTAACTATTATTAGAAAAAAAATCAATCCTATTACAAAAAAAATAAAACAAATAAAAAATAAAAAATAAAAATACGACAAATAAGTTATCGAACCTCTTCAGATCTCCAAGACGGATTATAAACATTGATATGTCTTTTACCATCTGGTTGCTCCTCATCCGATTCAGAATACTCTGGAGAGTGATATCGGTTGTCGCTTAAAACATTCAAAAGTTCTTTTCGATCATAATTCTCCAGTTTTTCATCATTTTTGTCGAAAAGCAATTTTGCGCCTTTAACTCGTAGTGCTTTTTTCTATATTTAAAGTTTTGACGAATGATGAGATTTTTTTTTTTTGAAATAATAAAGAAATTATTTACCTCATTTAACCGATTGTTTCGATGTAGACGATGATTATCTTTGTCTAAAGTGCCGCGTTGTTTATATAACAAACGCACTCTGCAATGTTTATGTAAAGCGGCAAGCTAAGACTTGACTTGCCTGTATCGTGGAGTATATCTAGGCTTCATCGCTTCAATTAATCGAGGTATAATCTGTCGAAGAATTTCATCATTCGACTCACTGCTAAACTTTTCATCGTATATTAATTCTAGTTCAATCGGAAAAGTTTTTAGAATCGTCTTCATCTCGGCCTAAATTGAACAAAATATCGGTTTAGCGAGCGTTAAAAGCATACATTGAAAGAGGATTTTTGAACGAACCCTAGCTTCTTCTTCATCTACTTCCATTTCATCTCCAGAATCGTGTACCGTATTTTTTCCTTTCCTACGCTTTGTTGGTCATTGATCCTCTTCAAATTCGATATCTTGAAGGTCAGATGAATGTCGGTGATGCAATCCGTCATTTTCCTGACTAAGTATATTGTTATACGATTGTAATTTGCCAATGTCTAGCCGTAGGTCACGCAACTCGCCATTTGCATTATCGAGTTGCCGATTTAATTCGTCGATTCTTCCCTGTAAGTAGGCATTTTCTTCTCGGAGATCATACGTTTCTAAAAAAACGTTAAAGTCGACCAGAACTCTAAAATGAATACAAAAGTCAATTGTAGCTCACCATTTACATCTCTAGTCCAATTACTACTATAAGGTTCACGTATAATTGGCGTTGATTCTCTCCTATAT